GGGTTGACAGGCCCGAAGGTCTGATGTCCAGACGGCCAAAATAAATCAAGTGGGAAGAGCCAACAGATTCAGCCAATGGCAAAACAGATATTGATCCGACGTTTTGCCACTTCAGGCGGTGTGGTAATTAACGAGGGCCAACCAGAATGCAGCGGTCGTTCGCGCACTAAAAGGACCTGACTGATTCAACCTCTGGCGGTGCGCCTAAGTCTGGCGTTGTAAAGCCGATCCAATGAGAGAACGAGGAGGTGGTGGGGCGAGAGCATCGCACACACCGGACAGCCTAGTAGCGCGTAACAAATGCGAACAGCTACGTTCTACGTTTGGTTGCCGAATGTGGCGAGGTCTACGCGGAAAGCCAACACCCGGATTTCACTGAAAACACTTAGTAGCCAAAAATTAAGTATGATTATGAAGTCACTGAGACAAATTATAACGAATTTTGACTGAGGAGAATTTGGCTCTTACTTCAACAAAAGTTTAGTATATTTTTCATGACAAGAAACCCTTGAAGAATTTAAAAGTGGGTCTTCTCACCCTGATAACAGGGGCCAATCGCATGACATGCGTTTTCGATTAGGAAGAGTTGCAATATTTACTATCTTGCGGCATAATCCAGAGACATTCTAGTCAGGCTAGGATGCTGGCTTTTGAATGCACTTATTTTCGGCCGCATGTAAAACCGCACTCGGCATACATCTATCCAATGGTTTTCGATGCCTTTGTAAATTCCAATATATTTCATAGAATGCATGTTCAAAGATATCATTTTATGTTCCCTTGTGGTAGTAAATCACGTCTTTGTCAAATACTATACTCGAAGAAATGGTTTTAACAAGGTTAGTGATTATGGGATCCTTTAAGAACGCGAAATTTCCACTCAAATAGCATTGCATCTGGTACTTTTTTAATTCTCTCGATGGAGTTGACAATATGGTTCGTATCCACTTTTAAAATTTATTAGTCCTATATACTATCTTAATGGAAGAGAGGGACGCAAAGTTTCCAAACATAAAAAAATACACTTGTCAAAGCAGATGCAAGGACAGATCAGGCTCAAAGGTATTCGGGGAATCAAAAAAAAATTAAAAAACAATTCACCTTCATATAAAAAAGAGAATTTTAAGTAATTTAATACGAAGCGGGTGTAGAAAAGGATGTTACTGTGCATATTTTATTAAAAGTGGGTTTGCATTTTTAAAGATAAGTTACACTACTTATGTAGTTACTTTTTGCCGAGTATATTTTTTGCAGACATCTGAAAGGAAGTGTATTCAAAAGCCGGCATCCTGACATGACGGAACTGTCGTGGAATTATGCTACACGACTACCAATATGCCAATCCCACGTAAGTAACCTTTCGTAGGCGAAAACGCACTTCAAAGTTTCGATTAATATTTGATGAAAGTGTAATATCGTATAAAGGTATAGGCAGAAGTTCACAAAGAATATAAGAAAAAACTGTCCGTTTTGGGAGGCTCCTAGTCAGTACTGTTTCAGTAACTACCTATACAGTGCAGTTTCGCGTTTTAAGGGGGCAATCATAAGAGGCCTAGATAAACAAAAGAGTTGGGATAAAACGCTGTAAATGTGAAATACAACATCGAACATTTGGTGAAATTGGATGACAATTTTCTCAAATCAATTTAGAAAGACCTGTTAAGCCAAAGACAACACTTCTTTAAGACCGTTAATTGTAAGAACCCCGAAAGGTCCAACAACCGAGGCATAACTTAAAACTGAATGTGCAGTGATGACCAAAACAAGACCGTAAAACGAAATTTCCTTTCGAAATCCGTACACTGGTAGCTTGTGCGCGCATCAAGTTGTCCTAATTATGCTCTAGCTCACTCGAAATAATTTCAGATAAGCCATTTTCACTTGAGCAGCAATAGAAGAAGACGTTCCTCAAAAGCTAAACAAAGGCTCCGATTAGGCAACATGAGTTTCAATCGATATTAAGCTATTGCCATGGCGTCGGTGGTTTCATTAGGAAATGGGCAACAGTCAAGGCAGACACAAAAGAACACTGCACGGCACTGCAACAAAACTTACCAGTAACAGTGAATCATAGTATAGGAGGGCACAGCCCAGGCAATGCAAGTTCCATCGAAAGACGTGGTGATGAGAATACCGCCGTCTTGGCTGTAACAGGCAGCTGAGATGAGGTGGTGGTGACGCAGAAGAGTAAGACATCGATATGGCGACTGAGCCTGAACAATGTCGGATAAAAGAGCTACTGAAAACCAATAAGTAGAATTGTTTTGTTTTCAATTAATCAATAAAAAGCATTCTCAAAGTCGATCGATTCGAAAAAAAGACTGCGACTACTTACAGTTTGCGTACTTAAGAAATTTTTTGCGACATCAAATATAAAAGTTAAGTGATGCTAGCGACCTGATGTGCGACTTTGTTCTCAATTCTAGTGTCCGTTTACTCCAGTGTTTACTATTTGCACGGACCCTGTCTATCACTATTGGAAATAGTCTAACTGGTAGACCTAATAAACTACCGAAATGGCTGCATTGGTGTCGGCCAGGTAGCGCTCCGGAAGCCTAGCATTGGATAGCAAACATACATTATAGTGCGGATTTGAATATCTGGAAAAAAAATCACGTGCCCTAGCGGAAGTGTAACAGTGCAGTTGCGCCGTAGTTCACAGAAAAAAAAAGCTACCAGACAACGCACTGCAGTCGCATTTCAAAAACAATGGAGGTTTTAGGGCACAAAAAAGTACGCAACACTTTGCAACTGCGGTCGTAGTGGGACTATGAAGATAAGTGACGGCCGAAAAGTGACGTGAAAACCAAATACAGTCAGTGTGAGGGTCACGTTAGACAGTCAAACGGAAAACCAGTCCTGTATGTTGCTTATAAACAACTGATTATTTGCAATTGCAACTGACACTAATATAACGCTCACATCCATGGGTAAAAATTCTTCACGTTCTTGCGATTAAAGAAGTATAAAACCATT